GTTGGATAATTCTTGCTGAATTTTCGACGCACAAACCTAAAAACTGTTAGAGTGTCAAACCATCAGCTGTTCAAATGATTTCAAATTTGAATAGGCAAAAACAAAAGTGCATCTGCATCTTCACCTTATTAAATATATCCTTGCGAAGAAATATCAAGTTTTGTAAGTATTTTCGTTAATTTGCTACAGTTTTACCAGTTTTTACCCGGAAAGCGTTCCCGTCCTTTTTGGTTTGTGTCTCTTTCTCTGAGAGCAATTTTGGTTTTTGACAGTTTTATAGGTTTTATCTAGACAAGTTGAGGAACGAAACTAATATGTTGAAAAAGGCCTGGCTATATGCATGAAAAAATCGAGTATCAGCAGTTAGATATACATAGGAATTACTGGTATTCTAACCCTAAGCGATGGCCCGGCGAGGCTCACGGCTCTTTATGGCTTAACTCCCTTGTTAACTACAATCATATTCAGCTAGCATGAGTACAAGGCTAAAATGTAATACAGGGTGTATCATGAAGACCTTGTCTTCTATAAATAAAACACAACAAACTTTCTTTTATTTCATAATATTTTTAGTCTAAGGCCCCCACGACTCTTCTGGAGAAACAGCATGCGCATATACATACACTTGTGGTTAGCTAAGTTAAGTAACATTTTGACCAGTTTTGGCTATTTTTCTTTCGCCTTTCTTTCCACATTTCAAACATCGTACAAAACTTATAAAAATTCAAAAAACTCTAACAATTTCTCCCAAAATTTTAAAACTTTTTATTCAGAATTTTTAGAAAAAGTTTAGGTATGCAGTCTTATAGCCCATTAAAGTTAAGTAGGTAAAAGTAAAAATTTCAAGACGCTAGGAAATCGCGTTCAGTTTTAGTAATTTTTTTGGCTGGCGGTGCTAGGGATTTTCTTCTATGTAAAAGGCACTATCCTAACATAAAACGTACTACTTCTACTACTTGGCTTCTTATATTTTTTAATAACTAATCTTTAATATAGACCACACTAAAATCCTTTTCATATAAAAATTCGTACGTGTCCCACCCGTGACAAACGTTGTCCCGAACGTGACAGAGGAATTTCGGATTTTTTATGTAATAAAGTAATAATTTTTGTTGTAGTTTTGCTTGCTTTTTATTCGTAGTTCTTAGTTTTAGAGTCTCCGTAAAATATATCTGCCCCAAAAAGCAGGCTATTTTTACTGAAATATCAAAAATTAGGCCTCGAATCGTATATAGAAGAAAATTTAACTTTTTTCGTAAATTTTTTTTGTGGTGTATTAATATTTATATCAATAGCATTATTGAGCTTAGTACCACGATTTGTTTGTTAGGAAAAATGAAAAAAAAAACAAAGCTTAAGTGGTAGAAGTTATAGCAGCTATTTCGGAGATCACCACATCTCTTCATCAGACTTATTTTTTCCAAAATTTCAGCAAAGATCGAACCCGCGTCATCGATGTGCAAAGTCAGAAGCGCTAACCACTGAACACACGACAGTCGGCCAGTCCGAGGTCAGATATAAATCTGGGTCGTTCCGGTTACGTAGACCCGACTGCCTGGTTATCAGGTTATCTGGTTAAAAATAATTTTTCTGTAGTGTATTTTATTGTTGTACAACCTGATAACCAGGGAAGCGTGAACAACCACAATGATACAAATTTAGCTGTTAATATATATACACACCATTTGAGAAATTGTGACTAAATCTCTAACAACAATTTCCAAAACCCACCGAAGATAACATGCGACAATCTGTTATCCCAGCGACGAAATTAAATTAGTAACTTCAGGTTTGCATAAATGAAAAACTAATTTTCCTAAATGAAGACGTTTAAGTAAAAAAAAGACAAATAAAAAATATTCAAATAATATCAGAACCTATAAAAAGTACAACTTTGACTTGTCTGAGTTTTTATTTCGATCTTGAACCTAGCACTCAAGAATTCAGTTTGTGATTTTTTAATTAAACTAAAAGCAATGGGAGTATGTGGAGCTCCACAAACATGGAATTCAAGCACAAAACATAGACATGTACCAATTAATAAGTTATGTAACATATATTAATTTTCTTTTACAAATACATACCGACTTTCCTCTAAAGTGCATCTAAACTTGCTGCTACTCCTCTTACTTTAACGAAGCGATTGCTTTTATTATGGTTATGTGCAACTTACATACAAGTATACACGCAGAAATATTACCTGCCACTTCGAGTAGCGTCCTTGTTCTACATTAAAACCAATAAAATACTTGCAGGCATACATTTTAGCTAATTTTGTAATCACTGCATTCAAATTAAGATCAATAACTTTTTCTCACTAACTTATTTTAATCGAATTGCATTTATCACTTGACACTTTGTGGTGCTACCGATTAGCATTTTTCCATGGCACGTCCTGCCCGCGACTCGACACTGCGGGTGGCGTCCTTTTTCTATATTAAAACCAATGAAATACTTCCAGACATACATTTTAGCTAATTTTGAAGAACACATATTCACTGTATTCACATTAAGATGAATAACTTTTTTTCACTAACTTATTTTAATCGAATTGCATTTTTCACTTGACACTTTGTGGCATTTTTCTATGGCACGTCCTGCCCGCGACTCGGCAGCGCCCTCTTTCTATATTAAAACCAATAAAAAACTGCCAGACATACATTTTAGCTAATTTTGTTGAACACATATTCACATTAAGATGGTTATCCTTCTTTTTCTTTAACTTATTTTAATATAATTTCACTTTTTCACTTGAAACTTTGCAGTACTACCGACGGACACGGAAATTGCCGCGAAACTAGCATTTTGTCAGAGGAAGGAACCCACATTACAGGTTTGCATCGGATTTTTTTTAATATTATACAGTGGTGGATTAAAGAATTAGAACCAAAATTTAGTTCTTTCTGACTGTCGGAAAGGAAATTGTGGGAAGGTGACCGCAAATACTGTTGTTTAGCAAATTAAATTGGGATTCATTCTCTTTCATAAAAGTTTGATTGCTTGCTTTTGGCTATTTTAATTTCTTTAAAAAATAAAATTTGTCTTAAAAATAGTTGCATTTGGTCAGCGACTGTAACCAACAGATGGCGCCAGCGGCGTGTGGATTTTGTGGAACTTATAGATGACACTTCAATAACCTTAAAAGCGGCATAGCGAAAAACAGCTGAGATTAAACGCGCAAAATTTGTGTATAGTTGGTCGTTCTTTGGCAAAAGTAGTTGTTTATTATACGTGCTGTTTTAAATTACTAATTATTAACGTATTAATTACACGTAAGCAATGCAGTGTTTACAAAAATATTGGTGAGCTTCTTTGGACTATATTTAGTTGCCTTGAATTAAACGAAACTTTCATACCAGCGGCTCGCCGAACAGATTGGTGGAACGCGGCCTGGATTTGCATCTGCGTGCAAAACGCGCCAAAGATTGTCTGCGTTGGGGTTCTCTGAATGTAGTGTTGCTAGCGATACTGCTTTTCGACATATCTAATCAGTGTCCATATGCGTACTCCAAATGGTACTATGCAGAATATTTGGCGGCTGCGCTATCGGGACTTGGAGCATTTTCATGCTTCTTAAAGTACTTTCTCTACCTATTCCATACAAATCCTATATTGGGTACAAAGGAACAGAAAAACTTGCTCAAGTTTGATGAGTGTGGTAAGTAGCGAGGCATTTATCGAGAAAAATATGTACATATGCATACATATATTGCAATCTATTTGGCTTGCAGATTCCTCATTTGTTGTTACACCACCAGCGCAAAGAAAAAAGCAATCATGCGATGATTTGGCGCCTAGTCAAATCAACAACACTCTTCTAAGCTGGCATTCATCGTTTAACGACTGTAAATAAATAGATTTTTTATGTTTATTTGTTATTTATTAATGATTTCATGCTTGTATAGCTCGCGCTGCAATGTCTCACAACTGGAGTTACAGCCGCACTACGCCGCCACGTACCAGCTTTAGCCCGCAGCAACAAACGGCACCGCATAATGCGTCCTGGAATTCTTCTATGGGCAACAGATCACTGACGCTTCCAGCAAATACTGGTGGTTTAAACAATACCAATCCCATGATCGAATCTTATCCTAAATACAGGCGTGAGGAGCTGATAACCGATAAAGAGACCCTAAAACAATATCTAAAGTAAGTTAAGTGGGCAAGTAATATTTTATCTACTTTGAATATCGCCTACTTAGTTACCAACTTCCTTTCATTGTGTAGAGAATTTTCTATGCATGAGCAAAGCATGAACGACACAGCCGATGTGAGCCATCACTATAATACAGGTTCAGTGAATTCATTCTGGAACTATTGCAATACAGCAGCAAACATGCTAAAAACTTCCATTTATCAACTGGCTCCAATGACAAGTAAGCAAAATTAAACTTTGTATGTATAAATTTTTAAAGAATAATTATACTTGTAGCACCTTCCATACCCAGTAAACAATCAGCAAGCGAAGATGGTGGCCTGAAATTTATGGATAGCAATTCGGAGATTATAAGACGTATTTCATCTGAAAAACTATCGCAATATGTGGCCAACTTGAGAAGGGTGAGTTAGAGTTGTGCCTTGGCATAGCTTACAGCGTGATTGTCACTTCAGGAACTCACATATTTAATAATAAGGTTGCATATTACAAAAATGTGTTGATGAATTATTTTCTCTTTTATTCAGTGGATGTCTGCAACCATTCTGGAGCGTTTAGCTAAAGAAATTAAAAACATAGATGAGTCATTTAAGAATCGTGGATTCGCTGATATGCGTATGGGTGGCATTGGACTGGAGCGCCTAAAGAAAACTGTTGAAAACCAACAATTTGTTAATCAGTACATGCCAATGTTGCCATTGATTCTGCCATTTTTGGAAATGTCTAGTAATCAAGAGTATCTAGTACAGCGGATTAAAGGTGCATTCAAAACAAAACTTTCAAACATCTTAATTACTAGTTGAATGAATTTTTTATATAGATTTGGCAGAAGGCTCTTGCATAGCTGACTACCGTTGGAACTCAGGTGCAGCTTACCATGGTCTAAAATGGGATGAGCATCTACCCACTGATTCGGCTGTAAGCCCACCACCATTATTAACCAAAGTGCACTGTAATAATATACATTTACTGTTTTTTTCAGATATTGTTTCACCTATTTTGCGTTTACATGGATAGTCAACTAATGCCTCTGCCACAAGGTGGTGGTCGCCCCTTCTTCAGTCGTTATGTGATAATAGGCAAGGAGAAACGTTCTGCCAAGGAAACGGTAGCGCTTGTTCAAAATAAAGCACACTGCGCTATACTATGTACGAACCCGCAGAAGCCACGTTTTAATTTCATAAGTGATAAAGAAATTCATACATGCGCCTACGATCGTAATAATCTCTTCTATGTGATCATACAATTTTTAATCTACATGAAGACCCATCAGGAAGGTGCGTTGGAAGGTGTCAATCTTGGTAAAAGCGGCATTAATGTCTTGTGTGTCATCGAAAGCTGAACATCGGATTTAGCCAAGTAATTTTTACTCTTTCCTCACTCATACTCATACATATGTAAGTCGTAAGCATTATTATAATATGAATACAATTACACTTAAGTAACTAATTAAGACTTGACATGTGGATTGAATTAAATCTTAGACTACATTCTACTGTTTTAAAATTAAGTTATTGAGAGCTGATTAAGGCCGTTTTAACAGTATGGCTTAATCACACAGTCTCGACTCCCAGTACAAAAATTTGAAGTTAGTTGCCAAACAAGTGTTAACTCGCACTGTAAAAATGGTCTTAAATGAGACCTATGTATGTAGCCAAATATCAGCTTGAGGTTATTATTTTTTTGGTAAGAGTAGAAAAGTAAGAATGCTTCATGTGAATCTGAATATTAAAAGCTGCTGAATGAGAATGAAACCAAGAAAGCAATTTTGAAGACACATGAGATTACTTACACTCGCACGTAAATTGTACGTACTACTTACGTATGTCACGCAAAAATTCGTAGTAGCAATAATTTTGCAAGTAGTTTTCGCGTAAACTTTTAATTAAAGAGATTTACTGATTTATATCGCAAATCCATGGTACATTCTTTGGACATTAATCGTTTTTGTGCTGCGGATTTATCGTGTCACTGGAGTGATTTGTGGCTGAAATACAGCGCGCAGCGCCGCAACAGCAAAAGCCAGATGCATAACAAATACAATCATGCAACATACATAAATGGAAAGTGGCTGAAGGTAAACTAAATTGTTGTGTAGCATAATAAAATATAGCGTTGTTAAAGTGATAACAGTGTTTTAAGGGAAGGAAAATGAAATGAAATTTTTATTTCTATAAATATGTATATTTTACGTAAGATTTGTTAAAAATAAGGACTTGAGTTTCGTTGTTGTTGTTGTAACATCATACAAATTCCCCAAAGAGATTTTGGGGAGTGTTGCTGGAGTGGTGGCAGTCCTTGGCCAGATATATATCTATCTGGGTCGTTCCGGTTACGTAGACCCGACTGTCGTGGGAACGACTTGAGTTTCGTACACTTATTTGGTTGTTATATTTTTTATTCAGTTTACAACAATACGATACACACACACAGTTAACCTGATACCCAGGTCATTGACGAGACGGAGCTTCATCTGCCTCGGGAGACTAGAACCACAATAGCCCAACTTCGCTCTGAGGCTGCACGCTTCTTAGGGCTACCGTTAGTGGAACTTGACAACGACTGAGATATTAACCTGGGCGGGGTTGTTGTTNTGTATTAAGAAAATTTATCAAATCATAAGTGTACTTATAACTTTTCATATTTGAATTAATTTTATTAACTTACACAGGTTACAATTTTTCATGCAAGTATGCACGCTTCTTAGGGCTACCGTTAGTGGAACTTGACAACGACTGAGATATTAACCTGGGCGGGGTTGTTGTTGTTGTAACAGCATACAAATTCCCCGAAGAGATTTTGGGGAGTGTTGCTGGAGTGGTGGCAGTCCTTGGCCAGATATATATCTATCTGGGTCGTTCCGGTTACGTAGACCCGACTGTCGTGGAAACGAACCTGGGCGGGGTTGTTGTAGCCGCTGCAACAACAACAACATAACCAGGAAAGAGTGAACAACTTCAACAAATCATCTCTTCATCTACAATTTGCGCGTTACAATAGTTACATCTTAGAAACGGGATGATACATAAAGCGCCAAATGAACAGCTGATAACTGTAAACATACAAAATGAAATAGTTGCGCCGATTATATTTCCAACCTATAGGGTGCTTATATGCGGCAATTTTACTGGCAACTTTCAATTGAAAGCAAAAATCACCTAATGTGAGCGGCCTTTCAACAAATCGCTTCCAATGAAGTTGGGGGGCTGGAAAATGCTTTATTTGCGGGAAACCAGGTCACTTTTCCCGCGAATGTACGACAGGTTCCCACAGGTACAACAATTCAGCAGCACGCAAACGCAGGGTTGAAGAAGATGAACAAAACTTCAGTCAGTCTAGACAGCAAAAGGGCGCGCGCTGGAGTCCGCCATTGAATTCCCCATAATCTTCGTCTAACAAGTTGGAAGGAAAACGAGCAACCTCACCAATGGTGAATGTGCGAATGGGCAAGAGCACGTGCTGATAGTGGATTCCATTATTCGACCTTAATTGGTCACTTGGCATGTGAAACCATTACCTCGAGCGAAGTTCCAGACTGCAACTGGTGAACGCACCGAAATATTAGGAAAAGTACCCTGCGTGGTAATAATCGGAAATGTGGCCTCGTACCGCAAGTTTATAGTGGCAGACATTGTCTATGAAGTCATCATTGGTGTGGATTTCCTACTCGGGCAAGACATGAAGATCGACCTGGAGAGAAGGATCCTGATATCACTACAGGGAAGTGCCATTTAGGGTTGATTACGATAACCAGTATTGCTGCAAACGGTTGCTCTAAGAAGAAACCCAGCAGACTCCACCAAGTGCAGAAGCGGTTAGTTGGGCAGACATTGACAGTGATGAGGGAGGCTGTTCAGCGATACAGGAAAATAGTGAAAAGGAGGAAGTGTCAGCGGAATGCCCAATCGCAAAGGCATACTGGACACAATGCGATAATTTGAAGCTGATATCTGGTTGCTTGCATCGGATATGGGAAAGCGAACAAAAGTTCCTGGCGTTCTCAGCGAGTTCCACAGAGGTCCGAATGGAGAGCAGCTAGTAATCAAGAAAACCCAAAAGAGGATTAAGAAAAGATTTTTTTGGTTCTTTGTGGTTGTTTGTGTTTCCGACAGGGTAGGAGTATGATGTATTGTGGAACGATTTTCCGTCATCCCTTGTCAAATTTGGTTTGGAGACAAACCGGTTTCGGCGTTGTGCCATCTTCAGTGTCATTTTGACGTCAGCAAAAAAAAGTATTAAAAAAATCAACGTGATTTTGTAGCGGCTTGATATTTGCACTTTAACCCACTACACTTTAATGGGCTATAAAACTGCATACCTGAAATTTTTCTAAAAATTTTTAATAAGTTTAAAATTTTTAGGTGTAATTGTTACGGTTT